GTAGGACCCCGCTGCCAGCAGTCTTGTTTAAAATTGTTTGAGATTGTTGGAGATTTGAGGGATGTTTTGGCGATAGCCCAAGACGGCATTTTTTGGAAGCTCACGCATGTCACGGATAGAAAGCGCTTTGCTCCTTGAGGTGGCTCGCATGGCCAACTCCATCCGCAAGGTTCTTCGCAAAGCGTTGGCCTCGTTGGATCTGCCAAGCGATTCAGACGAGGTGCCAGAGCCTCACCAGCGCCGAGCAGACGAGCATGTGGTGACCATCGTGCTCGACCGCGGTGTGAAGAGCATCGCAGCTGTACATGCGGTGATGCTCGAGAGGTGTGCTTACAACGCTTTCGACGTTGGAGAGCCAGTGGAGAAGCTTCGAAGCTGGGTGGAGGTATCTCGACCGCCTGTGATGATTTCCGACGCTGCTGTCTTAAAACGCCTTGGTTTGACAGACATTGCTGCGACGTTGGGGGACTTTCCTCGGATTGTCTTAGATGTGGACTTGGCGTTGCAGAAGACCGACAACAAGTGCACGCTTGCCTGTCCCCCCAAGCATGATGAGAACGACCTCGACAGACTGGCCTACCTGATTTTCACTAGTGGGTCTACCGGAAAGCCAAAGGCCGTGATGATCCGTCACAAGTCAGCGTTGAACGTGGTTCGCATCTGGGGCAAGTACGTGGGTCTTGGGTCTCACGATCGATTTGCGCAGGTTGCTTCGATGTCTTGGGATGTCCACATCATCGAAGTTTATGGCACCATGTCAGCAGGAGCCACCAGCGTCACATGCCCCGACATGATTAAAAAGTCAGGTCCGGACATGCAAGTGTGGCTGAAAGATCGAGAGATTACGGGCATGAGTGTGGTCCCTTCGCACTTGCGCACCATGGCTGGTGGTGGAGCAGATGTATCAAGGACCTCCGCTGGGCTTCCGCACCTCCGCATCCTTGATGTGGGAGGCGAAGCATTGGGAGCAGACGTTGTATCCACTTGGGCTCCGGGTCGACGTCTCTTCAACAGCTACG